CGTGGCAACGCTAAGAATAATTTATGTAATTCATCCGGCTAATATCGGCGAACCGTGTCGTAAAGTGTCCGCATAACCAATTTGGCAGTAAAAATCCAGCCACGGGTTGTCCTTTTAAAGCCCCTCCCCTCTCCTCTCTCGCGATGAGCAGTGCCATAACATTACGAGTTACGAGTCTTCGGAGAGACTCAGCGTGGTCATTCTCTTTGTCATTTTTGCCGGGCCTTTCCTTTTCCTCGCGTTTTTCCTTTTCTCTCCCGCTCTAACCTTCCTCCTTTTTTCCCAACCTTCTCGCGCGTCCCTTTTTCTCCGCGTGCACGGAGCTTTCGGCCGAGTCAGGTGGAGGAGAGCTGGACCGCACGCTCGACGGTGGACATTAGCATAGTAACTGGAGATCCCCAGCGGGCGCCTTATTAAATTTGTACCATAAGCAATATCGCGATGCGGACCGGGCTCGTTTCAATTTGCTAGCCTGGAAATTTAAGACTCCGAGACCCGTCCCGTATCGATGCTACCGTGTAACGGTGTCGCGTTAACCTGCACCTTCGTCTCGACGCGGACGATTCGAGAATCCTCGAGAAAGAGAATCGTAGTCGGAGGACGGCGGTAACATTCTAGAACCGATCGCCGTGCGAATTTATCGAGGTATTATAGCTAGCTGCTTTGAAAATTATACACAGGATGGAAAGAATACGTCGATCGAGTTTTAGGATCGAAACGACAAATTGTCTATCTGTCGAAAACGGAAAATTGACGCTCCATCCTTGGAGTAAACTTACCTAAGAACTAGCGCTTCTTGCATGCCAGTAGTTAGATACCAAACAGCGAGCATTAACAATGCTCGAATCTCGGGTAAATAGAAAGATGGCGTGTGAAAATGCAGATTCTCTCTAGCATGGTCGCGCCGTTCTTTCAATCCTTTCAAGTTGTTTCGATTACACCACTTCTGGGTCGCTGGTTCCGTGGCACGCGTAAATTGAAGCGATCTGTGGTGGACCGCGACGCTAACTTCATCCTCGCGTCTATGGCCCGTAGATTCACATATCAGCCGGTTTATCGCATTCCGGGGAATTAAATATTCCCGCGTAGTTACAATACTGTAGGTTACTTTACTACCGTGCACGCTCTCTACCATACTCTTTAACGCGCGAGTCGTTCGGTTGCAGCATCCTCGGAATTACCGCTAACTCGGCTCGCGATATTACAAGATGATCGGTGTTTTCGCGTGTTTGCCCACGAACGCGATATAATTACCGGTGCCGGTCGTGATTTCTGCAAAGCAGAAGTTGCGTCGAACTGGGTTAATCGCCGCTCTGTTTAACAGAGGAACGCGCGAACATAGAACCGCGTCGGGATATTTATCACCGCGCTCGTCTGCTCTTGGAATTGGGAGAAAATGAGAAATTAGGGTTTAACTTGGGCTCGGATAAAATATTACCGCTGCTTGAAACCCTCTATTATCGATTATTAAAATTCCGTTTCTCTCTACTTCAAATTTAATTGTTCTTTTAATTATTTTTTAACCTTGCCTTTTAACCCTCCACCTCCCTCTTCGTGTCCACGTGACGCAAAGCTGAAAGGAAAAGGGGCTAATTAAACGGAGGTGAGGATTCTGAATGATCGGATTGCCACGCTGGTCAATACGACTCTTGGACTTGGCTTCGACTCGATTAGATTCATCATCGACGGCGACAATGGCAAATATGCGTGCGTCTACGCGCCAAAGGCGGCAAAGTCCTCGGGAAGGAGCGGAGGGAGAGAAGGAGATGCAGAGAGGGCGGGAAAACAGAAAGCAAACGAACGAAATGACAACATGAAAATATAATAAGACGCTTGTGTCAACGGCACTATGGCGCTAATGATTACAAATGGCCGGGCCGATGTATGTACTTATTCGCGCCGACCAAAAGGACAAGTCGAGTGATCGATCGCTTCCCCCCCAATATTGCTTGATTCGATTTAGGAACCGTTCGTAGCGCGGTCGAACTTCTTGGGCAACTTTCCATCGGAGGAACGCTTCGGTTCGATGTTTCGGGACCTAACCTGACGGGCATCGAGGTAAAATACGTCGCGGGACAGATAGTAGACAGA